GCTGTCCATTCGGCACTGTTATTTTGTGAATAGGAGCTTTGAATGCACACAGTGACCCCAGTCCTGCTTCCTGAAGAGGTCATGTTAGCCCAGCCTCAGCCCTCTGCCTGGTGGCCTGGCAGCTCTGGGTATAGACCTGGGTACAGGAGCCACGTGGGGCCAGCCCCAGAGAGGGTCATCTCTCTGTGCAGCTGCAAGAGCAGTAGCCACACCTGATGCCTGGTCCACATGGCCATGATCCAGAATGTTCTGGTGCAACAAAATTCTCAAGGCCTGACAGTTTTATCTGGGTGAGAACTCAGGAGCGCACTTCGAAATGCATGGCCACATGGCCCTAAGTGACCTCTGAGCAATGCCTGGCCCTCCTGGTTCCTGTCTTAGTGGGTCTGGGTGGGGCAGCCCCAGCACACACATATTTCCAAAGAACCCCCCGGGTCATTCTAATGTGAGCCCAGCTGGGTGGCCCTGACCTAGAGAACTAGGGTTCAACAATTTGGGGGTGAAACCCTGTTTCTAACAGAGCAGCAGAAACCATGGGGACATCACTCGGCTGTGCTCAGTGTCCCCACCTGGCCCATTTCCCTTTATCTGCCCCAACTATCTGGATGGCCATGTTTTTAATAAGAAAAATGGAGTCTGGCGTCATGTGTGTGGCCCCTGTGCGCTGAGGGGGTCGATGATCTTTCTTGGCAACGCTGCAGTGTTTCCTTCAAGGGAAATGAATGGATCACACCATCCATCTGTGTTTACTCCGGCAGGAGGAGCCTTAATTGCACCCTCAGTGCACCATGCAGCTGGCGGGAGACCCGATGGGTCAGTGGCCCAAGACCGGTGCTGGGGTGGCTGGAGCTGGACAGTGGGCAGGAAGATGAGTGGTGAGCGCTGGAATCTTGGGCCCAGGAGATGCTGTAGCAGATGTTCTAGGATGACACAACCCGACCCTGCGGAGGGAGGGCGGGGCTTCTGGAACTCTCTGCTGGGCTCTCCACTTGGACGGCCTTGCAGAGTACAAATGTGTGCTCTGTGCTCGTAGGAGACTTTCTGCAGCAGAAGTCCAGAGGCCGGTATCCTATGGCCCCAGTGTGGACAAGGAACTCAGGGCCAGTAGAGGCAGCTCTCTGTACCCACAGCCATCGGGATGGCCCCTGAGAGATGTCCCAGGACTCTGGCCAGTCACAGAGATTAGGATGTGGTGGGAGGTGAAGGGAAATCTGGTCTGGGATCCAGGGTGAGTCTGCACTGACCAGGAGCCTGATGCCTGGCGAATGCCTGCCCTGTGCTAGGATGGGATGTCTGCCCAGCCCCACGGTGGAGGCTGATGACCACCCCCTCCTGGGTCTCCCCCTCAGGCTTGTGGCTGGGCATCAGAGCGGGGTCTGAGGTTGGGGTGGTACGCCTCTCCTAGTAGACAATGGCCTTGCAGAATCCTCTGGAACAGCTGTGTAAACTCAGTGTGGGAGGAGGTGAGGTGTTCACATCCTCAATCCTCTCCCAAGGGGATGAACGGAAACAAATAGAACCAGACACACCTCTTGGGGTCTCAGGCAGAGACAGGAGCTTGGTCCCTGGCAGGGTACCTTGTAAACCCATGTGGTGCACCTAACACGGGCCACTTCCCAAAGTGAGTGACACGCCCAGCGCACTGCAGCAACCCCATGAAGAGCTGAACACCTGCAATGAGCCTGTGCCCTGTGGCCCCCAAACCTGAGACCCCACACTGTCTGTGAGGGGGCCGGACACGTCACAGCTGGGCCAGATGGCCATTCATCCTCTCTGCTCTGGACACCTGAGGCCTGACTCCTGAGGGGGCAACAGACCAGGCCTGGGAGAAGAGCCACCGCTCTGGGGTTCTCCTGCCTTGTCCTGGCATGGTGTGGGGCTGGAGAGGACAACATGGGGGACATGCCTGACCAGGGGCTTCCAAGGCCTTCAGGGGGTAGAAGGCAAATATGTGGGCTGGCCTTCTGGAATAATGTCAGCAAGGCCCTTCCCTGCCCAGTGCTTCTGTGCCACCACCGTCTACCACTGTCCAACAGGGCAGCAGACCCCAGAACTGGGTCAAGACCTACCCATTTGGCCTGAGGCTGCTGGGAGTCATTTATACCTGTTCCCTGAGGCTGCCACTCATCCCCCGTCCCTGCCTCCATGTCAGGTGCCCCTGCTGGGCCAGGATTCAGACTTCCTGCCACGCCAGGTTCAGAGAGCTGGACCTGGCGCACCATGAGATTCGAGCCAAGTGCACTGTGAACAAACAAGGGCAATTCGAGGCCACTGGTTCAATGGTCAATGTAAAGATCTTCCCAGATAGGATTTTCCACATGCACTAGTAACCAAACTTCGTTCAATGGCTTTTTTAGGTAATATGAGAGCTTGCTTTTCATTAGTGCTTGTCAAAGCTGGCTTTGGATTACTCGAGCAGAAAGCCAGTTAGAGTAGCCCGAGGGATGCCTGAAGGGTCCCCACAGGCCCAGTGGAGTTTATAGCCCTGAGAAGGTCCCCCTGATTCAACGTTTATAAAAGCAGCAAAAGCAATGACTAATTAATGCCCTGCAGCCCCAACAGTGGGTCTCGGTCACCGGGTGGCCATGAAGTCAGAGCAGTCCTCGTTCCTCCCGAGGCTGTGTGCCGGGCGGGGCCCTCTGAGCTGCCTTGGGAGCTGGCCCTATGTTCTCCATCGGGAGGGGAAGGCGGGAGCCACTGGCTGGGCATCCTCAGACAGCAGGGGAAGGTCCAGCATGAGGTGGTGCCCATTCTGCTGGATACTCAGGCCTCTACCCGGAGCCTCCTCCCACTGGCTTGAGACCGCAGAGCATGGGGCCTAACGGTGTGTGCAGTGGGCACGGTGCAGAATGCCCTGGCTGCTGGCCAGGGCCACTCGCCAGCCAAGGCTCTGTATTCAGCCAGCTCTGGATAGTTTATGGATAAACTGTGGTGCATCTAGACAATGGAATACCACTCAGCAATGAAAAGAAATGAGTGCTCCAGCCACGAAAAGACAAGAGGCACCTCAAATGCATATTACTACGTAAAGAAGCCAGCCTGAAAGGCTACATTGTGGGTGATTCTACTACATGACACTCTGGAAAAGGCAAAACGATGGAGACGGTAAACAGATCAGTGGTTTCCAGGGGCTGGGGGGCAGGGAAGGACTGAATCTAGAGCACAGAGGGCTTTTAGGGCAGTGACACTACTCTGTATGATACTACAGTGGTGGACACATGACACTGTACATCTGTCCAAACCCACAGAAAGTACAACACCCAGAGTGACCTGTAGTGTAAACTATGAACTTCAGTTAACAATGAACTATCAATGTTGGCTCATCAATTATAACCAATGTTCATGATGGGGAAACTGTGCAAGGGGAACAGGGGGATAAGGGAATCCTCTATACTCTCTGCTCAGTTTTCTATATATCTAAAACTGTTCTAAAAACAGTCTATTAATTAAAAAACAAAAAATAGAGCTAAAATATGGGGGCAGTGAAAGCAGGTGAGCAGGCAGGGCAGAGACAGTAAAACATTCTAAGGCTTTAGGGCCTTCACAGTGGCAAGGACGGGTTAAATTTAGACTTTCAGTTAGTTAACTACACATGTACTCACTTGGAAGAAATAGAGTGTATAACTTATTACTTGGAGAGGAAGATAATGGAATGAGAAAAACCTCTGAAGAAAGCTAAAGGGACAAAAAGAAAACAAAGACGTGCAAAGAAACTCCGACACCAGTCGCGATGTGTGGACTTATTACGTAAGAGAACGGACGTCAGCCTCAGTTTGAGAAGAATCCTGCTCTGCTAGGAGCCACACTGGAGAGACGGACACAGGCTGAAAAGGGGTCACAAACCCAGACTTTGCAAATATGAGAATATTATGGCTTTTTTTTTAGCTAATAAATTTGAAAACATGAAATGGACAAATTCTCACAAAAATGTTTGCCACTAAAGCTGCCTTCGGGAGAAATGGAAACCCTGTGTGTCCGACAGCCACCAAAGGCATTAATCAGTGGTCACAGAGACCCCTGGAGGCCAGGGGCTCATACAGGAACACTGCCTCTGTCCCCATGAACTCAGAGAAGGGGACCAGCCCTCGATGAGCTCCACAGCGACAGCAAAGCCAGAGCAGAACCAGGTAAGGCCAGTACAAGGTGAAAAATTACAGACCAGTCTCATTCACTGACAACCATGCAAAATCCAAAGCTGAATGTTAGCAAATCATACCCAGTAACATATTGATATACACAGCACGACCAAGTTGAGTTTATCTTAGGAACGTAAAATTGGTTCAACATTAGCAGTATTGATGCAATTCACCATATTTACAGATTAAAAACTGGTGGACAAAAACCCATTTGTTAAAATTCAACATTCATTCATGACTAAAAATACCCCAAACAAAACTCATAAAACAAAACTTCCTAGTAAACTGGAAATAGAAGACGACTTGGTAAAAAGGCAGCCACAAAAACCAACCAACCGAACCACCTATAGTCACATCTCACTAGGCCAGGGAGCATCTCCTTTGGAATCGGGGGAGCCCAGACCTGCCGCCTGTTGCACCTGCAACCTGACACCGCAGACGAGGGAGAGACAGGAGCATGACCAGTGAAGTCACAGGGCTCCGACATTACAGCATGTAGGTGACTCAATAAAAACAAACACACGCATGCCCTGGCCGGTTTGGCTTAGCGGTTAGAGTGTAGGCCCATGGACTGAAGGGTCCTGGGTTCGATTCCAGCCAAGGGCATGTACCTCAGTTGCAGGCTCGATCCCCATCCCTGGTCAGGGTGAGTGCGGGAGGCAACCAATTGATGTGTCTCTCTCACATTGATGTTTCTCTCTCTCTGTCCCTTCCACTCTCTCTGAAAAGCAATGGAAAAAATATCCTCAGGTGAAGATTAAAAACAAACAAAAAAGCAGGACACAGAAATTTAAAATCCTAACAGGGTTTTCCCTGGGCACTGACAAGCGATGCCCACATTCCCCGGGCTCTGCAGTGACTCACCTGGAAGAAGATCTGTAGGGCGCCGTGGAGGACGCACATCCGCCGTCCGAGGAAGATGAAGAACGGCACCACGAGCTCCAGGAAGTGGTTGCTGAGCGTCTCGAAGCGGTGGACCCACCACGGGGAATGGTGCAGAAAGTAGGCCATGGGGTTGGGCACCGGCTGCGTCTGTGGGGCAGGAGGAGGCCTGTGAGCCGCGCCCGAAGCCCACCCCCGGGGGCCCAGCCTGCCTACGCTGCCTGTGTGGTGCCCACCGGCCGGTGGAGGATGGCACGGGGGCTTTTGGGGGAAGGTAGTGTCTGGGACTGTCCTGCTTGGGAAAGACATGGGGGAGGCTGGTGCCACGGCAGCTCACACGCTACCAAGACCCGAATCACCAGGATAGGGGTGATGGGAGCATGCATCTAGGCCTTCTTGGGGTGCACATCAGAGGCACCCTCCCTGCCTGGTTTCCGGTAATTCTGACATGGACCCATTCAGGGGCCCCGAAGGCCCTGCTTACATGGGGGCTCCGATGCTGAGGGAAAGCCTGTGGGGAGAGCCCTGCGCAGCACTGGGCACTGGAGAGCCCCGCGCGAGGACAGGGTGCTGGTGGAGGGGGCGGAACTGTGGGAGCCTGTCTCAGGTGAATGCTCGCGTGGGGTTGGTTTCTGCTTGAAGGGCAATGAAGGCTGGGGGAGCAGGGTCCCGGCCCCGAGTGTGTGTGCTCCTGGGAACACGTGTTTGAAGCAGGTGGGCGCAATGCTACCCAGGAGGCCCGAGTGTTGACTCAGCCGTGGCGTTGGCCGCCCCAGGGCCCACCAAGACAGGCTCTGTACCTTTGACCACAAAGCCCTGTGCTCCCCCAGCCCCCATCTGTAGCTAAGCTGGAAGTAGGCCATGCAGAAGGCCACGTGGCCATCAACGCTCAGAGGAGCCAACTGTGCCAACACTGTGTGGCGCTGGGTACGTTCCTACCCACGATGGCCTGGACACGCCTTGAACTGGGCTCACTGCCCCGTCAGAGAGGACCCAGTGTGACATTCCGCCATCAGTGAAGGGCATGGGTCTCACTGTACACAGGGGACACCAGGCATTGGTGGCTCCAGACCCAGGAGGACCTGCTGTACCACCTCTAACATGAACTGGCTCCCTTTCCCATCTTTGGAGAGTGTGATGATTCGTGAAGGGTGCGGAGGTCCACTGTGCCCACCTCCCTCCCCTCCCCCAGGCCAAGCTTCCAAACACACACGCACCCTTCTCGCTCCTGGGGACTTTGTCCTCCGTGCACCCCCACACCCCCACACAGAGGCCGCCGTGTGGGTGATGACAGCCACCGTCAGGGAAAGGCTGGGCCAAACAGACAATTGGGTAGTAGCTGTTGTGCCAGCATGGCTCCAGTTTTGAAACTTAAAGATGTTTCTGATATTATTAAATGGACTTGACCTTGTCACAGATGGTTTAGATCCCAGAGGAAGGAAGCGCCTCCTGCAGCTGCCACTGGAGTGCTGACCCCAGCCCCTTGTGACCTGCTCCTCTCAGGCCCCTCAGCATTGGCTGTGGTTGCAGCCTGGCTCTTACCTCTGCCCTGGGCATGCTTCCTCTCATATTTGCTGTGGACACAAGGAAGTCCCTGTCCTGCTGGTCTCCTACTGTGCGATGGGCACAGGGAGGTGACTACTGTGTATGAGGAGACACTGGTCAAAGAGCAAGAGCCTGCGTGCCCTGAAGAGTGTGGGCCTTCTCACCTGACACTCAGGGTGGCGGGAATGAATGAGAGGCACAGGTAGGAAGTCATGAAAATGGTGGCGCCCCAAGCTGACTGGCCACCCTGCAGCTCAGAGGCAGGACAGTAGCTGTGGGAGGGTCGCTGTCCCATCTGGGAAAGTGTTTTCCTGCTAACTTTTCACTTGGATGCGATTTCTGACTTACAGAGAAGTTACAAGAATAGTAAAGAAAATCCCCGAGCCCCCGAATGCTTCCGTTCTGCCACCCCCGTCCTCCTCTTGCCACAGGTGTGTCCTCTGCACCACCTGGGAGTCAGCTGAACGTGCGCCCGGCACCCTGAGGACGGCAGCGGGAACCTCCCCAGAGAAGGGTGCTCTCCTCTGCACAGTGCCCATCACGACTCGGGACTTAGGAGTGTGCTGCTGTCTGTCAGCTGTGCGTCTTACTCCTCCAGTTGCCTGAATATGTCACTTAAACAAAATCACGCTTTGCTGATTCCTGCCGGAGTCAATCGTTTCGGTGGCATTTGAACAGTGAGTTGTGCATGGCCTCTGCACGGCGGTCCACTGCAAGGAGCAGCTGTCCCACCTCTCTGTGCATTTACTGGTGCCAGTGTGGACAGTGGGCTATTTTATTCTGTGGGTTACAGTCATGTGTGTTGATGGTCCATACCACTTTCTGAGCATTTGCCTACTTTCTGGCACTAAACATGCTCCGGGGTCACCTGAACCCCTCCTTGCCCACCCCTGGGCACAGCTGTCCCTCCCAGGAGCTGGGTCCTTCTGATTGAGGCTGGACTCAGCCTGGCCAGGCATCACTATCTCTGGGGTGCTCAGCAGGCAGAGCTGGGAACCAGACATGTGACTACGTCTCATCTGACCCTGCATCCACACCAACCTAGCTCACCAATCTCTGCATTTAACTGTACTCTGAGTGTGTTTCTGCAGCTCTGGGGGGTGAGCAGCAGGCCTCTCCCAGCCTTTGCCCCAGGGGCTCCCAGAAACTAGAGCCTGTCCCCACTTGTGTATGGGGAGGGAGAGTAAGATTGGGGGGTAAGATGGAGAAGCATGCCCTTCTGGGGTGGGGGGGCACAGGGGTAGAGGGCAAGTGGGACTATCGGGCATTTCTGCTCACAGGCCTGCGCTTCCTGACCACGGATTTGCCACATGCCAGGTACTGCCTGAGCAGAGAGAAACCCCTATGGTCCTAAAGTTGCAGATATTCTGGTGGTTAACAGTAATTTCACTCAAAACCAGAAAAAGCCATCAAAATTAGTTCCAAATGTTTCAGCTTTTAAAAAAAAACCAAAAAAGCAGAGCTCTCTGGATACAGTATGTGTGGACACAGAGTGTACACACGTGTGCATGTGCAAGCCCACCCCAAGGCGCCCGTGGCCCCTGGACAGGAATGTGTACCGGGCACCCAGCACCTGGGCTGGAGCTGTGTCGATGGGGCCAGAGCGGCCAGGAGGTGGGTTTGCAGGCTCGGGGCAGGCATCGCCTTCAAGAGCCCATCCGGAGAGGGGACCCTGTTACCTAGGCTTGTTCTCTACTGGCAGCACCAGGAAGAAGGCCCAAACCAGCACATGGTGACAGAACCACTACTCCTTGTTCCCCCCAAGTCAGGATGAGCCCCTCGGCCCAATTTCAGAAAGTGGCTTGGCGACGAACCAACTCTCGGTAGCGCATGCAGGAAAGGGCAGCAGGCCGCTTGGCTCTGGTTTTTGCAGAGGGACAGTGGATCCTGCACACTTCTTTGTTGGTAAAAGGCCCTGCTTTTACCAACAGTCGGATCTAGCCAGGGAAAGTGAGTTTTGACAAGATGGCCATGTCCTGCCCGTGGTGAATAGGAGCCCCTTGCCCATTCTGGCTGCCCCCAGGGGCTCCTGTCATCAACACAGCCTCCTCCACTCACAGCCACCAGACATAGAAAGAAGGCAGAGGCCTAGGGCCTTCCACACCCCCTACCCCACTCCATAAGCGAAGGAGGGCGTCGTTAAAGCAGGCAGGATGGTATGACAATGTATCCATGGCTACCTTAGCATCATCACTGGCTCCAGGCTGAGCTGGCCCTGACCCACTTATCTGGGTGGCGTAGACACCCTGAGTTCCACCCGTGGAGATGTGGCCAACCAGGTCTCCAGCAGCACAGATGTGGGTCTGAGGACCTTCTCTTCTCACCCCCAGGGCCCTTGTTGAAAAGGGCACCATGCGCCCAGGCTAGAGACACCGGATTTTATAAATCCAGTTCATGGCCTGAGTGCAGGGACTTCGCTGGCTTGGAGTTTGCAGCCACACAACAAGGATGTGGGGCACCTGGGGCTGAGAGTGGCTCCAGCTGCCAGCCAGCTGGGAAACACAGGCTCTGAGCAGAAATATCCCTGACAATCTTGTTTGTCCCCCCCAGTCTCGGGGTCACCCACAGGGACAGCCATGGGCACGTTAGGGCCTGGGTGTCGTGCGGCTCAATCCTGCGCCCAGAGGTGGGGGGCCGGATGTGCACAAGGCCCACCTGCCCATGCTGCCTTTAGGCCCTGTTTTGTCTTTCCTGAAGTTTCTGCTATGCCCAGCCCCCCAACCCCAGCACCCAGGGGTAGCTGATACTCCGGTGAGCTGGAAGGCAAAGGCCCTCTCCGGGAGGCACTGGGCACACAGGCAGGGCTCCCAGGACACCACCTCCCTGTTCACTGTCACCTCGCCCTGACTGCCCTGGATGGCTGGGCCCGTGTCCCTCGCCTTTCAGAGCAGGCTGTCCAAGGTGGACCGATGAGCAAAAAGGACTCTGTACCAGCTGTGCAGAGAGGCCTGTGGAGCCTTATTTGAAACACCCGCGTGGGGAGGACCTGCACTGGGCTCCTCACTCTCAGCTCCCAGCGAGCGAACAAAGGAGAGAAGCATCCCAGGGGGGGGGACAAGCCGACGGCCCGGGAGAGAACGTGCTGCTGCGACCTCCAGAGCAGTCAGGGCCGAGCATCCCGAAGCGTGGTCCCTTCTCCAGCGGCGTGGGGCCTCTGTCCGGGGGGGTTTCTCAGGAGCCTGTGTGGAAATTCCACGTGCGCCTCCCCGAGGGGCAGCCCCTGCTACTTGTACGGCGCGCACGAAAATGAGAAAAATAAACAGTTCGCTTGTCGCTTGCTCAGAGCCGGGGAAGGAAGCCAGACCCCGCACTGAGTGATGCTGGAGGGGAGGCGCCTGCACATTCCCCGTCTTTGGAAGGAACAGCAGCAGAGAGGTGGGGTGCTGGTGGCAGAGATCAGATCTAATGACATCCCCTAAGTGTTTCCAAAAGAAAGAAACAGCCTGGGCCCCAAAAGAGTAAATCACCAAGCGGTGCCCACGACCCAGCAAACAGAACCTGCTGTGGGCTGCACGGCCGCTGCTGTTCTCACAGCCACCATGGCCACCTCCGGGCAGCGCTCCTAACTTTCCACTAAGGTTCAATGGCCCAACCTGTCCCTCAGG